TTTGTGAAAACATGGTTGGAACTAGAGGGTATAATGCTAAGTGAAATATGGAGTTATAGAAAGACAAATACAATATGATTATGCTCATACGTGGAATTTAAGAAACAAAACAAAGAAACAAAGAGACAAGCAGACTCTTAACTCTAGAGAACAAACTGATGGTTACCAGAGGACGGGGTGGGCAGGGGGATGGGTGAAATAGGTGATGGAGATGAAGAGTCCACTTATTGTGAGGAGCACTGAGTAATGTATGGAACTGTTGAATCACTATATTTTACATTTGAAACTAATATAACACTTATACAGAAATTAAAAACATATATAAATCTAAAAAATAAAGAGACTCATTAATAATTTCAAAATATTGAAAATACAATTAGCATATGACCCAGCAATCCTACTTGTAGGTATTCATCTGAAGGAAATAATAATACTTTCTTGGGAAAAAAATAAAATATCCTAAAATTGAAAATCTAGGTCAAGAGCTATCATATATTCTATCATATAGATTTTCATATAAATTGAAAATCTAGGTCAAGAGCTATCATATAAACTGAAAGTAGTACCTAGTTAATCTACTTAGTTTATATCTGTGAGATGGATGAAGATTATGAGCCAGTTTTCTGAAAGGAATAAGGAGATGTGAAATATTTTTCTGAGGTCAAATGAATGCAACGGAATTAAATTATAGAAGAATTGAGGGTGGAAGAATCAGAAACAAACCGGTATGTAGGACCAGCAATACTGTGGGCATAATACCCAAGGTATGAAATAATCCCAGGGTTGGGAAATATTTCTGATACAAATTGAGGTAAACTTTAACTCATCAGGGCAAGTTGATGCCTCATTTCTAGCTCAAAGTGTCTATTGAAATTCTACTACATGCTGCTCATGCCCCCAACTTGTCAGCATCAACTATTTGGTGCATGTTGAGTCGGGGCTACGGGTATCCTTTGCATTTTTGTGGTGTGTGTATTGGGGTTAGTACAAGGCCTTGCTACTTAGAGGTGGTTCCCAGACCATCAGCTTCAGGCTCAACTTGGACCTTGTTAGAAATGCCGAGTCTCAACCCAATCCTACTGAATTAGAATCATCTTAACAAGATCCCCATACACACTGAAAAGTTTGAAAAATGTTTAAAACATAAAGAAAATTCTGTAAAGTTTGAAGAGAGAGATAGTAGCCATGCAATAGGCAAGGCAATGACCAGTCTCTGAGCTCCACTTGGAATATACTTGTCCCACACTCCCCATCAATCCACAGATAAAATTTCATCCCTTGGGGAAAAGGCCATAACATTCCTTTCCCCCTGGGATCACTTGATCATCAGGTTTAATTATCTAAAACATGATTCAGATGTCAGAACAAACAAAATCCACTCTAGGTGACTAGCACGGATGTCTTAACATCTACATATCAGGGCAATAGAGAGAGAAGTCAAGTGTGTGCTTGGGTGAAGTTTGCAATGAGAATTGATGGTAGAAAGAAGATCTTTAACATTTTCATGGTTATCTAGTTTTATAATTCTTGTTTGCACCTTAAAAACAGTCACTCAAATCTCAGAGACGCGGTTCTCAATCCTGACTGCACATTAGAATCACCTGAAAAAATCCTTTGAAGAAAAAGAAAAGAAGAAAGGACACCAAAGCCTCAGTATCAGAGATTCTGGGCTAAACGGTCTGGAGTGTAGTCCAGGCACAGGTAATTTATAAAAGCTTCCCAGGTGATTCTAATAAGCAGCAATGGTTGCAATCTACTATCTTAGTGGTTTGGGATGATTCATCGTAAGGTCCAGAGGCCTGGACACCTATGGAGCCCTAGGTAGTTTTTATTTTATTTTATTTTATTTATTTTATTTTATTTTATTTTATTTTATTTTATTTTATATGATAGTCACAGAGAGAGAGAGAGAGAGGCAGAGACACAGGCAGAGGGAGAAGCAGGCTCCATGCACCGGGAGCCCGACGTGGGATTCGATCCAGGGTCTCCAGGATCGCGCCCTGGGCCAAAGGCAGGCGCCAAACCGCTGCGCCACCCAGGGATCCCCCTAGGTAGTTTCTTTACAGCTTGCTGGTCATTGCCAATGGTTAGGATGACACTGATGACCAGGGTTTTAGGAGGAAAACGCTTTATATATTAGAAGTGATGTTGACAGAAAATAAGAGAGCCTAAAACTAAATGATACAGAGACACATATCCAAGGTATGTGTCAGTTAGAGAAATCTAGAGGGAAGTGCTAGAATGAGGCTGACACCCATCATCTCTCCCCTTGCTCCTCCCCATGTAGACCAGTGCTTAACATGCCCACCAGTTCTCTGGGGATCTTGTTGCAATGCAGATTCTGACCCAGTTGATCTGGGGGAAGGCTTGAGACTTAGCTGGACAGACTTAGCTACACACTAAGTGGTCGTGACTCACCCTCAAGGCTCTTCCTTGGGACTCAACCAAGAAGATGTCCTCCATCCTCCTGAAGAACGAATTCCATTGCGGTCCTTCATATGCAGAACCACTCTGCCCAAAGCCATTCTTAACCTCCCACTAGACAACTTTATCAGACGATCAGGGACCATTGAGTTAGAATGGACTTCAAGGGTACCTAGTGTGGCCCGTTCATTACACAAGTGTGACAATGAGGTCAAGGGGGGAAAGGAGCTCCCAAGTTCACAGATGATAGAGGCAGAGCTGAAACTGTAGGTAAAGCCAGAACATGAAAGCATCAGTTAAGGATTCTATGTATTTTTAAAAAAAAAAATCAAAATAATTGCTTTGTGTTACTTTCTAAATGAAACACCACTTGATTGTCCTCAGGGCGTTTGTAGACGGATAAAGGAAAGAGCCAGAAAGGAGTATATGACTCTAAAGCTAGGTCCAGGGGATCCCTGGGTGGCTCAGTGGTTGAGCATCTGCCTTCAGCCCAGGGCATGATCCTGGAGACCCGGGATCGAGTCCCCACATCGGGCTCCCTGCATGGAGCCTGCTTCTCCCTCTGCCTGTGTCTCTGCCTCTCTCTCTCTCTCTCTCTCATGAAAAAATAAAAACTTTAAAAAAAAAATCTTTAAAGCTAGGTCCAATGACCTCTGACCCCCTAAAATGGGGTAGATTTTATGCTGGAGAGCTTGCCTGTCCATTAGACCACACAGAAGCTATTCCTTTCTCATGGATTTCCATAAAGAAGACCCAAGGTCCCCACCCCCCTTCCCCCAATGCTGCCCCGTGAACTCCTCAGTCATCTTGTGCCACTTTCATGTTTTGGAATCCCCTCTCAAGTGACTCTCTAAATCCTACACAAGAATGATGCACACTCTTGCTCAATATTAAGAAGCTCTCGTGCAACGCTGAAGACATATATTGTTCTTTCAAAGGACTCTGGGTTGTGTAAGGATCGTATATATATATTCCCAGAACATTCAGAAGGATATTCAGGCAAAGGAGTGTGATTCTTGCTCTGTTACTTGTTACTATTGTGGCCTCTCCGAAGAGCAGAAGGAGTAGTAATGAAATCGGCAGACCCCAGAAATTGGCCTTCTGGGTCCTGGCATCCTCGATGTGGCTGGGTCAGTGGCCACGCGGCTCCTAGCTACCTCCTTCCCTTGCCACACTGTCTAAGCCAGACTTGTTACCACTGTTTCTGACCTCAAAGCTCAGGACAGGGCTGATTCCCCAGCCATTACCATACTATCTTGCTCCCAGTGGCTACCTGGGTCTGGAATTAAGAACCAACCACAGGGAAATCACTCTGAATGCCACGAGTCTGAATATGAAATACCAGCACCACCAGAGGCTGCTCCGGGAAGGAGGTTTGCTGGGCTCCCGTCTGCCTCCTCCACTCCACCTTGGCTTGGGTTTTGTCTCCTATTTTTGTGTTCCTGGTAAATCCAATTATATATTTATCTCCATTACTGAAGGCCACCTCAGCACTTTCTTGGGAATTAGGTTGTCTGGAGTGGGCAGAGCAGCACATACATACCTTTGCTGTCAGGGGATCAGGGTTAAGCTCATTTTCACTTCTGTGATATTTTGAAAGATCACAGAGTATTTTCTTAGTGCCTGGGCAGAGAGTCAGGAAGGAGCTGGAAGGTGAAGCACCACACTGCAGCCAGGGGTGATGCTTGAGCAACCAGGCCGGGCCTCGCTTTACATGTTTCTCATTGTACTTTATTTTCTTAATTGCCTTAATGGGCATGCGGTGTACTGCAAAATGAAGTGACATTGTTTTCCTTGTTTGCTGTAATTCACAGAGAGCCGGTTTGATCATGAAACCCAGGGACTTTTCAATTCCATTGATCTTGGGGCGGAGAGAAGGGATTCTTTTCAAGCATTCATTTTGAAGGATGTGCTCAGCAATGAATTCAAAGCCTGTAAAAGGGGAAAAAAACCCCATGTTTCTTCACCACCGTGTTTCACAATAGCTATTAGATGACCACACCATCATCAAAGCCGGGGAAAATGTGTTTGCGGAGGGGGGTGGGGGTGAGTGGGGTGTCGGGGCTTCATGAGTAGCACTTGGCCAAGGAGACCGAGTCGGACACCCCATCCAGAGGCTGAAGGGGATGCTTGAACCTGGGAGGGTCCAGGCTTCGTTCAGGCTCGCATGATCCGGGAAGATGTGCAGGGGGGCCCGGCTCTGGGTTGCCTGGCATCGACTGTGAGTTCCCAGCAGCGGCCTGGCGTCCCGGTCTCGAGTGGGACTTGAGCAGCCACACACACGCAGTGGCGGGCTCGGACAGTGGGGTCTGGGCGCCCCGGAGAGCAGAGAGGCCTTCGGCACGGACGAGGGGGTGGCTCCCCAGCAGCAGCGGGGAGCGGGGAGGCGGGGACAGCCGGGAGCCTAGGCCCGGCCGGCGCCCAGCTGCAGGACCAGCTCCAGGCCCGCCCCGCGGGCCCGCCCCTCCCCCGCCCGGCCCCTCCCACCCCGCCGCCCGGGGGCGCCCGCGCGCACCTCGACCCTGCGCGCCCCAGCCCGCGCTGCAGAGGCTCCCGCGCCCGTGCCCCGGGGCGCCATGGGCGAGCTCCCGTTCTTCAGGGCGCACGCGGCCTTGCACCCGGACCACCTGTGGATCTGGGAGACGTCCGTGTACGTGGACGAGAACCAGCGCACCTGGCTGCCCGTAACCATCGAGGTACAGCCGCCCCGGGGCGGGCCGGGCGCGCGGCGTGGGCATCCGGGGTGGGACCACCTGCCCCGACTCCGGGGTGCGGGCGGGGGGTGGGGGGCAGCGGAGCCTTCACCCGGAACGCGGCGGTGCAGAAGCCGAATTAGGAACAAAGGTAAAAAAATATCACGGTAGCTCTGCAGGACGTGAGAGGCCTGGAATCCCAGGTCCCCACCACCGTGTCTCTTGGCGTTTCAAATCTCTGGTTAGGGCACAGGACACCAAGACCACAAAGCGGAGGGTTTTGCACTGTCATCATAGATGCTGCGTGAAACATACCCCCTAGCCCAATGTGGGGCAGGCTTTGTGCCCATGTGATTGAAAGGACCTGTTTTCTTAATATGTAAAGTTTTTTTTTAAAAAAAAAAATTTTATTTATTTATTCACAAAAGACAGAGAGAGAGAGAGGCAGAGGGAGAAGCAGGCTCCATGCAGGGAGCCCGACGTGCGACTCGATCCAGGATTTCCAGGATCACACCCGGGGCTGCAGGCCGTGCTAAACCGCTGAGCCACCGGGGCTGCCCTTAATATGTAAAGATTGACTTAAAACCAATAAGAAGGAATGGGTGACGGGCACTGAGGGGGGCACTTGACTGTTGAACACCAATAAAAAATTAATTTATTAAAAAAAAAAAAACAACAATAAGAAGGGATCCCTGGGTGGCTCAGCGGTTTAGCGCCTGCCTTTGGCCAGGGGCGCGATCCTGGAGACCCGGGATCGAATCCCACATCAGGCTCCCGGTGCATGGAGCCTGCTTCTCCCTCTGCCTATGTCTCTGCCTCTCTCTCTCTCTCTCTCTGTGTGACTATCATAAATAAATTTTTAAAAAAATTAAAAAAAACAATAAGAAAAAAAAATGAACACGCAGACTAAAAGTGGTCTAGAGGCTCTAGAAAACTATAAACGAACACAGCAAGAATGGTGATTTCCACTCATATCTTGCAGGATGATCTGAATTATTTAACGATTCTAATTTATTTCATAGATGGGAAATTAAAAACAAAAAACAAATTAAAAACAAAAAAAAACAAAAACAAAAAATGATTTCCACTTTGGAAAAGTAGTTCTTGAGCAGACACGAATGCCTAGTTTATAGACCCAGCCTGCTTTCCAGGCTATGAGGTTTTGTGGGGAATGTGATAAAATCCTGCTACTCAGCAAGCTGATGCTTGCTGAGGGGTGCAGAACAATAAAATAATTGAAGCTGGTGGTAAGTTGTGTAAGGATGAGAGGCAGTAACGAGTGGCGTGGGGTCTACAGGCAAGACCCCGTCAGAGAATTAATTTGCATTTGTTTGCCATGCTTTTGTCCAATCATTTTATTTGAAACCTTTGTTAAGTCTCACTTTTAGATGTGCGGGCCTCATGTGTATTTCATAGAGCTGGATTTTGCAGAAATTTGTCCCTGTAGATACACAGTTGTGCAGAAACCTATCTAAGGAAGGGTGTGAGCTGCGTGTAGATCTCAGCGAGAATGTTCCAGGCAGAGGACCACAGATGCAAGAGATTACTGGGGATGTGGCATGTCCTGGAAAGAGCAAGAAGGCCTTTGTGGGAGGTGGAGGAACAGGGTGGGAGGTGGAGGACTGAAGAGATGAGGGAGGCACGGGCCCACATTAGTGGGTCTGTGGACCATGGTAAAGGCTTCAGTTTCTTCTGCCCACAATGAGAAGCCACTGGAGGGTGTCAAACAGGAGGTGACATGATTTTTAGACGCACACCCTGGCTGCTGTGCTGTGAGCTGATCGTGGGGCACATGACCAACGAGGTGGCAGGTTAGCTTACTGCAGTAGAGGGGCATTGGTGGAGATGGGGAGAAGTGGTCTCTCACCTGATTGTGGGTGCTGGGGAAATTTGTTTCAATGGGGCATTTGTGGGCACCTGCCTGGCTCAGTCGGTGAGGCAAGCAACTCCTGATCTCAGGGTTGTGGGTTCAAGCCCCGTGTTGGGTGTAGAGATTACTTAAAAAAAAATTTTTTTTAATGAATAAATAAAAGGGGCTGGGCTCTGTGACAAAATAAAGAAGAATCAAAGAAACTGCAGCTAAGGAAGCTCAGGGACGAATGTTCAGTTTGTCAGGAAGACGTGGGCCTGGTGTGGCCCCGTCTGGGTGTCTAGACTCATGTGAGTGCCGGTCATCTCCGCCTGGCCCGATGCCTGAGAGGGGCATGCTTGGCGCAAGGGATGAAGTTGCTGGGAAGAGTGATCGCCAGCATTTCAAATGTCAGCTGGGCCGTGAGGGTGGCAGGAAGGACCCTGTGTGCTGGGGAGCCTGGGCCCTGAAGGCATGCCCTGGTCTTCCCTTCCCTTCAGACGGAGAGCAGCCTCCAGGTACTCATGCGTCAGGAAGATGTCCCCCTAGGGGAGGCCAGGTGCCCCAGCCTGCTAGCCCCATGCCTGCTGCCTTCCATGTGGCAGCTCTACCCTGGAAGAAGATACCGAGGCTCAGACTCCAGCTTCTGGCGCATAGTGTACCACATTGAGGCAAGTGTGTCCTCCTCCCGGACACCGTCGAGTCATCTTGGGTGGGCCTGTCCTGTCCTCCTTGCCCCGCCCCCCGGCCCCCATGTCTGGCTTCTAAGGTCAATCCATTCCCTCCATCTCTCACCAAAAGCTAAACAAGTGGAAGGAGTTTACAACTGCAGGTTTTTCAAGGACTGGACTGGGGAGACATCAGAAGACATTGACTGGGCCACACTCTGAGGTCTCAGCCACAGGGAGGCCTCTCGGATGGGCAGTCAGGGGGTGAAGGCTGGTGGGAAGAGGGGCTTCTCGAATTCCCCGCCCCCAGGCAGGTTCCTGCCTGCTGCTCCGAGCTCCTGAAAGGCCCGGGAGGCAGGAATAGAAGGATGGAAGGAGACTTCCTAGGGCCCGGGCCTCTCACCCGCTTCTCCCGTGCAGCTCAGTGGCATGGAGGACATGCTCCTGGAGCAGCTGCCAGACCTGGAGGATGAGTGACCAGGTGAGTACCTTCAGGACCCAGCACCTGTTGGTCCAGAGTGCCCAGGTCGGGATGAAGGACCACCCTTCTCTCATGAAGGCAGTGCTGACTCCCACCCCGATAGAACTGTCCTCTGAGGGTCTCAGGGTCCCTGCTCTCCCCATTACCACCCTGGGGGCTAGTCAGTTGTCCGCAGCCCCCTTCCCCGCAGGGGTGCACGTCTGTGCAGCGCCTCGCACGTTATGGGTGCTCCCACTTGATCATCACCTCGACTGAGCTGGGAATTACTCGATTTCCTAGGTTACAAAAACGAGCCTCAAGGAAGCACCATAACTGGGGCAGGTCACAGAGCCGGGTTCCCAATCCCAGTGCGCTGACACCAGGCCGCCCGCTCTCTTGGTCATCTGCCCCGGCTCAGACGCAGGGGCTCAGCCCTGGGGGCCTAGGTTGACCCCCAAGCTCCCCGTCCAGACTACCCCCAGCAGCTCCACTCGCACCCACCCTCCACCCCGGCCCTCGCCCGTGCCACATTCTCCCCTTTGCCTTTGACTCTGTCTTCTCTTAGCCCAGGTCCTGTGCTCCTGTCTCCTCCTGCGTCCCCCAAGGCCACGTCCTGCTGGCCCACAGTGGGGATGTTCGTGCTTGCGGTCACCTTCGTTTACCGGCCATGCGTGTCGTGTTCCACTACTCCCCAGTCCGGGAGGGATTGGGGGGCCGAGGATGAGCCCTACCCAGGACCTGCTGGACCTGCCTGCGGCCCCCCAGACTCCCCCACCAGCAGGTTGGCACTGGAGAGGTTGGTACAGCATCCTCCAGGTGCCCCAGCGACACCTGGCCTCTGGTTTTCCTCACGCCCTGATCGTTTTTGGCCTCTGTCTCCATTCTGCCCCTCCCAGTAACTAGTGTCGCCTGTCGCATACCTGTGGCTGCTTCTCAGTCTGTTCCCTCAGCTCTCTGTGCCCCTGGCTGCAGGGGAGAGCAGGCCCGCTCACTTGAGCCTGGGCCAGGCCTTCCAACCCCTGCACCAGCTGTCTGACAGGCCGCGTGTCTGCACAGGCCCCTACCTGCAAAAGCCCCCCCCCCCCATGCAGGTGGGCACAGGTGCAGGTAACAGGAAGGCCCGAGAGGAGCCCAGATCTGTGCCCAGGACCTGGAAGCCCGCTAGCCCACAGTCCCCAGCTCACAACCGAGTGGGGGGCTGAGCAGGCGAGACCAGACACCCTCGGTCACCCATCTGTGGAGGGACAGAGGGACAGAGGGTGCTGGGGCTGCTTTTAAATGCTGCCCACACACCCGGATGTTACGAAGTTGTATGTAGTGTGAACACTTTGTAATGTTGATTAATTAAATGTAAAACAGTTTGTCTACCTCAGTGCCCAACCAACTTCTATTTGTGACCTGGATGCCAGAGGAGAGAATCAGGGACAGGCCGTCGGTCACCAGAGAAGACTTTTTTTTTAAAGATTTTATTTTATTTATTCATGAGAGACTCAGAGAGAGAGAGAGGCAGAGACACAGGCAGAGGAGAAGCAGGCTCCATGCAGGGAGCCCAATGTGGGACTCGATCCCGGGTCTCCAGGATCACGCCCTGGGCTGCAGGCGGCACTAAACCACTGCGCCACTGGGGCTGCCCCAGAGAAGACATTTTGGAAGGGAAAGAATACTCATGAATTTATTGTGTTTCTTTTACTTTGGTGATAAGGCTAGGTTTTTTTTTTTTTTCCTATAATCCAAAAGCTCAAAACCCCAGTGTTCTTGGAGGGAGTAAGTGACCTCAGAAAGTCTTTGCCAGCAGCTCCTTGCATTCAAGATCACACCCTCTGGTCCCCCCCCTCCCTGCTCTGGCACCCATGGGCTCTGTCCTGGCATGCGTAGTTCCAGGGCCACCAGGAGTCCCTGTTCCCACCCGCAGCTGTCCCCAGCTCCCCAGGCCTCAGCTGGAGGGAGTCCCTTCCCTACAGCCCAGCCCACCCCATGCCCTGTCCCCGCCTGCTTCTGTCACAAGATTAGCTGCCCCCCCACCCTGCCCCGTGAGCCGGGAAATAGGGCCTCAGGTATCACAGAGGGATGCTTCCAGTAGAAGGAATCCATCCTGTGTGGTGCATGGGTCCTCCCCACTTGTGTGTGGCCAGAGTCCATAGCTTCTTCATCACAGAGAGGTATGGGGGTAATGATGTGTATACTGTTAAGTACCTAATAAGAGCATCATAGGAGGAAAGCACCGCTTCTCCTATTTTATATTTCTTGATCCCGGTCTTACGAGGACAGGTGAACGTTGGACACCACATGTGACAGGGTTTGTGCCTCTTGTGATTGGAAACCCATTGGCTTGCATGGTGCTTGCCAGCGTAAGAGTCTGGTGTGTGGGAGCTGTCCGTAGGCAGACCCCTCTCGGTAGGGACAGCATCAGGATGTCAGAACAGGAGAAATGTCGGAGATCAGCCAATTGCCTCATTTTAGGAACTGGCCCAGGAAGAGGAAAGTTCTAGGTTTGGGCAGACTGTGTCCCTCTCACTCCCACCCCTCATTCATGTGTTGATGCCCTAACATCCAGGCCCCAGGTGGGGCCTTTGGGAAATGGTTAGGATTAGCTGAGGTCATGAGGGTGGGACCCCATGATAGGATTAGTGCCCTGAGAAGAAGAGGAAGACACAGAAAGAGCAGCTCTCCATGCACAGGCCCCAAGGCAAGGCCAAGTTGAGGACACAAGGAGCCAACAGCTGTCTATAGGCCAGGAAGAAAGTTCTCGAAGGTCCTCACCAACTGCCCAGTCTGCTGGCACCCTCTGGAACCTTGAGAAATAAATGTGTGTTGTTTAAGCCATCCAGTCTCTGGTATTTTGTTCTAGAAGCCCAAGCAGACTGACTGGTCTTGTTCCAAATGCTTGTTTCGGAAACGTCTGATCCACACTGGGAGCTCTGCTGGGTGCCACAGATAGAGCAGTGACCAGAGCACAGGCCCTGCTCTCACATAGCTTCCGTTTTGGGGGAAAAAAGACCAACAAGAAGCTTATGTGCACAGTCCTACAGAGGAAACCAAACTGTCAACTAGCTTCTTAAACCAGGGAAGAGAGTCCCAGGGTAAGGAAATGATGCGTGTGGTGCAGGTTTAATTTGAAATTAGAAACAGCCAAAGGATTCCTGCTCGTTAAAAGAAAGGCTGTTTTATAAGAATAAGTGGCCCTAATGAAATAACTAAATACATCGAAGAATCTACTGTTTTCCATGGCAAGAGGGACTTTGAGCGTTGGCTGAGACAGTTGGGTGGAGAGTCGGGCCCTCGCTTGAGGCGGGGATGTGGCTTGGACAAAGGGGAATGTACCAGAGCCCTGCTCCAGCCTGTGTCGAGTTTGAGAGGCCTGTGATTCCTCCAGTTGTGAGTGTTGATGGGCTGTTGATTGAACATGAATCCAGAACACAGGTCAAGACTAAAAAGATAAGGGACACCTGGGTGGTTCATTGGTTGAGCATCTGCCTTTGGGTCCGGTCGTGATCCTGGGTTTCTGGGATCGAGTCCAGCATCGGGCTCCCTGCATGGAGCCTGCTTCTCCCTCTGCCTGTGTCTCTGCCTCTGTGTGTGTGTGTGTCTCTCATGAATAGATAAACCTTTAAAGAACAGAGAGAGAGAGAGAGAGATGGAGACCATGGAACACACTGTTGGGGGCTGAGGAAAGAAGAGTGACAGTGGGATCTGGTCCCTAGAGACTGATGGTGTCGTCAGGGAGTTTAGTGCTGTGACAGGGGTGAACGAAAGAGAAGGGGAGGCAAGGAGGGATGACGTGCCTCTGGACTTCATCAGAGGGGCTCAGAGAAGCCTGGCTTCCAGGGTGTGTTGGGGGGCAGAGTGGGTATTGAGCCTGGGTGTGTGCACAGAATGAAGGGCTCCGCAGAAGGGGACAAACCAATGAGGCAGAATGGGGGGCAGGGGGGTGCAAAGAACATTCCTGAAGCTAACAGAGATGAACTGGGGTGCAAACCTGCGGTGCGTGGGCATCAGATGCAGCTGCTCCTGTGGTTTTCAATACCATACCTGCTTCCTTCCCCCTCCCACACACAAAACGGGGGTCCACTTCTTTTGTTTTGCCAAAGTATTTTATTTTATTAATTTAAATTTCAACTTTTTAAAAAAGATTTTGTTTATTCATGAGAGACACAGAGAGAGAGGCAGAGACATGGAGGAAGAAGCAGGCTCCCTGCAGGGGAGCCCGATGCAAGGCTCGATCCATGACCCCGGGATCATGACCTGAGTCAATGACAGATAACGCCATCACTGAACCACCCTGGCATCCCGTGCCAAGTATTTTAAATATTTGATCATTTTGCCCACAAGTCTTTTATTATGTATCTTTACATATAAGACTTTTTTTCCTGATAACCACCATACCATTATCACACCTAACAAAATTCACTGTGATTCCTTTTTTTTTTTTTTTCCTATTTTAAAAAAAAATTTTTATTGGAGTTCAATTTGCCAACATGTAGCATAACACCCAGTGCTCATCCGGCCAAGTGCCCCCCTCCGTGCCTTAATACCCTCCGACAGCCAGTCTGTTTTCAGATGTCCTCACTGGTCTCAAATGTCTTTCCACGGTTGGTCTAAACCAAGGCACAGACGGCATGTGGTTGATGTGTCTCAGGTCTCTTGTCATCTGTGCCTTGGTTTTTATTTAAGTCTACATTGTATGTTTCAGGAATTTATAGTTTTAATCATAAAGGTTTGGCACATTCTTGTCGAAACTATTCTCAGGCATTTTATTTATTTTTGTTATTGCAATGCTGTCTTTCCTTTTGTCATCTTTAACAGGACGTTGCCTGGAGGGTGGTACCTATGTGCATTTAAAATCCCTATTGTTTCCAATATGTCAATTTCATAGCCTGTTATTACTAAATTATCTCATTGTTTATAGTAGTTTTAATTTACTCTTTGGGTATTCCAGGTGTATAATGATATATCTGCAAATAGAGATTATTACCTCTTCTTCTCTAATTATGTGGTTGTAACTCCTTTCACTTGTCTGATACCTCCAGCACTATGGTAAGTAGTGGAGGTATTAGGCATTCTTTTATTTTCTTAAATTTAACCGGAGGGCCTCTAGAGTTTCCCCATTAAGTATAATCCTGGCTTTGGAGCTTAAATATTTGTGTTTTATCACATTAAAGAAGCATCTTTCAATTCCTTTTTTTAGAAGTTTAACGTGAATGGGTATTGGGTTTTGTTGCATGCCTTTTTCTTTTATTTTCTTTTTTTTAAATTTTTTATTGGTGTTCAATTTGCCAACATATAGAATAACAGAGTTAGGAGTCTCTCATGTTCTGTCTCCCTTTCTGATATTTCCCACTCATTTTTTCTCCTTTCCCCTTTATTCCCTTTCACTATTTTTTATATTCCCCAAATGAATGAGACCATAGAATGTCCTTCTCCGATGGACTTACTTCACTCAGCATAATACCCTCCAGTTCCCTCCACGTTGAAGCAAATGGTGGATATTTGTTGTTTCTAATGGCTGAGGAATATTCCATTGTATACATAGACCACATAAGGAGATGATCATATGATATTTCCTTGAACTCTAGTAATACCATATATTTTTTTAAGATTTTATTTATTCATGAGAGACAAAGAGAGAGGCAGGCAGAGACATAGGCAGAGGGAGAAGCAGGCTCCATGCAGGGAGCCTGATGTGGGACTCGATCCCAGGACCGTAGGATCGTGCCCTGAGCTGAAGGTAGATGCTCAACCACTGAGCCACCCAGGCGTCCCATAATACCATATTAATATTAGGTTATTGACTGTTTCTTGCATTCCTGGAATGCCAGACCAGTTGGTCATGATATATAATGTGTTGATGGTGAATCTCTTTGCTGGTATTTTATTTAAAAGATTTTATTCATAAGAGACACACAGAGAGAGGTAGAGACATAGGCAGAGAAGCAGGCTCCCGGCAGGGACCCCAATGCTGGACTCGATCCCAGGACCCTGGGATTGTGACCTGAGCCAAATGCAGATGCTCAACCACTGAACCACCCAGGCACCCCTTTACTTAACATTTTTGCACCATAAGGGAAGTGGTCTGGATCCCCCCCTTCAGTTTTTGTCAAGTTTTAGCATCAAAGTTATATTCACTTTATAACAATAATTTCAAGACTTCTTGTGTTGTATCCTGTAAGAGTGCAGGTTACATTAGAATTTTTTTTAAGCTTGGTAGAATTCCTTTATGAATCCATTCAAGCCTGGTCCCTTTTTAGAAAGAGCATTTGTAGAATTTTCTATTTCTATAAAAATCGATCTGTTTAAGTTTTCTCTCTCTACTGGGGTCAATTTAAGTTAAATCAATTTTCCTAGGAAAGCATCAGTTTCATCTAGGTTTTATATTTTCTTTTTATAGTTATTCACAATAGTCTCTTAAGTTTTAATATTCTCTGGGTGATTACTGCCCCCTGTCATTTCCTATTTTGTCTTTTTTGTGTTTCATCCCACTTCATAAAATTAAGTTTGTGTACTTTATTTCCCAAAGACCCAACTTTCTGATTCATTTATGCTATTTTTTTGTTTTGTTTTTTGTTTTTCTAGCTCATTGACATCTGTTTCTATCTTTCTTTCTTTATTTATATACTCTCATTTTCCTTTTCTCTTTTTCTAGCTATTTTAATTGGGTGTTTATTTCCTTTGTTAAATTTGTATATAGATATATGAGTTTTATTTATTTATTTATTTATTTTAAAGATTTTATTTATTTTTTCATGAGAGACAGAAAGAGAGAGAGAGAGTGAGAGAGAGAGAGGCAGAGACACAGGCAGAGGGAGAAGCAGGCTCCATCAGGGATCCTGACGTGGGACTCGATCCCGGGTCTCCAGGATCACACCCTGGGCTGAAGGTGGTGCTAAACCGCTGAGCCACCCTGGCTGCCTTATGAGTTTTATTTAAATATAATTGACATACCATACAATTCACATACAATTCACATATCTATATCATAGATAAAGTGTGCAATTCAGTTGCTTTTTGCATATTTACAGAGTTGTACCACCATTACCATGATCAATTTTAGAACATTTTCATTACCTCAAAAAACAAACAAACAAACAAACAAACAAAAACCATGTAATCACTAGCAGTTACTCCATAATACCACCAAATTTCTCAGCACCAGACGATCACTAGTCTCCTTTCTACCTCTATAGATTTGCTTATTCTAGATATTTCATCTAAATGGAATCCTATAATATGGTCTTCTGTGACTGGATTCTTTAGCATAATATTTTCAAAGTTCATACGTGTTATAGCATGTATCAGTATTTCATTCCTTTTTATGATCAAATAATATTCCATCATATGAATATTCCACATTTTATAAATTCATGGACATTTGAGTTATTTCCACTTTTACTATTATAAATAATACTGCTGCAAACATTCACGTGTAAGTTTTTGTGTGGACATATTTTTTGCTGTTTATTTTTTTTAAAGGATTTTATTTATTTGAGAGAGAGAACCCGAGGAGGGATGGAGAAGCAGATTCCTCACTGAGCAGGGAGCCCAACTCAGGGTTCAACCCCAGGACCCTGAGCTACCTAGGTGGCCCATGGACATATGTTTTTATTTCTCTTGGTTATATACCTGGGAGTGGAATTATTGGGTCATATGGTAACTTGTTTTTGACTTTGTGAGGAATTACCAGATTGTTTTCCAAAGTGGCTGCACATTCCCACCAGCAGTATGTGAGCATTCTAATAACTCCACATCCTTGTCAACACTTATTATGTGGCTCTCTGATTCTAGCCATATAGTCAATGTAAAATGGTATTGAATTGTGGTGTTGATCTGAATGTCCCTGAGAGCTAATGATATCCATACATTTTCATGTGATTTTTGGCCATTTGTGTATCTTCTTTGGAGAAATGCCTATTAAGATCAATTGCCTGTTTTTTTTAATAAATTTATTTTTATTGGTGTTCAGTTTGTCAACATACAGAATAACACCCAGTGCTCATCCTGTCAAGTGCCCACCTCAGTGCCCGCCACCCAGTCACCCCCACCCCCCGCCCACCTCCCCTTCCACCACCCCTAGTTCGTTTCCCAGAGTTAGGAAGGTATAATCAATGTATAACGTATTTCAGGTATATGACATAATGATCAAATATTTGTACATATTGCCAGATGATCACCACAATAAGTCTAGTTACCACCCATTACCATAAACAGTTATGAAATTTTTCCTTATGAGAATTTTTAATATTACTTTGTTAGCAACTTTTAAATATGCAAGACAGTATTACTAACTATAGCCACCATGCTGTACATTATGTCTCTGCGATTGATATATTGCTCATTTTTAAAAAAATGGGATTATTTTCTTTTTATTACTGAATTATAAGAGTTCCTTATATATTTGTATTGAACTCCCTTATCAAAAGTAATTTACAAATATTTTCTCCTAATCTATGTGTCGTCTTCTCTTTTGTTTGATGGTGTCCTTTAAACACAAAACTTCTTAATTTTGATAAATTCTAATTTACTTTTTCTTTTATCACTTGTGTCTTTAATAGTATATCTAAGAAAGCTTTGCCTGACCCAAGTCATGAAGGTTTGATCTACATTTTCTTCTAAGAGTTTTATGGTTTAAATTCTTACATTAAAGTCTGTAGTCTGTTTTGAGTTGACTTTTATGTATGGTATGAGGTAGAGATCCATGGATATAGTAAGTTGCCTCAGTGTCATTTGTTGAAAGGACTATCCCCCCCACCCCACCCCGCATTGAATTGTCTTGGCACTTTTCTCAAAAATTGATTGACTGTAAAAGTAAGGGTTAATGTTTGGAATCTCAGTTCTCTTCTGTTGATATATACACATCCATCCTTATGTCAATACTACACTGTCCTGATTACTATATCTTTGTGGTAAGTTTTGAAATTGAGAAGTGTGAGTGTTCCAATCTTGTTCTTTTTCAAGATTATTTTCATTATTCTGGGTCCCTTGAATTTCCATATGAATTTCAAAATCAGCTTATCAGTTTCTACAATGAAGTCAGGGAGATTTGAGAAGAGATTGTGTTGAATCTGTAGGCCAATGTGTAGAAAATTCCTATCTCTAATCTGCTCAGGCTGCTGTAATCAAATACCATAGATTGGATGTTTTGTTTCCATGGTTATGTTTATACTAATATCTCAGGGTGGTGTCCTTACTCCTTTTAAAAATTCTATTGGTTGTGCTCACTTCAGCAGCACATATACTAAAATTGGAACATTATAGGGAAGATTAGAATGGCCCCTGCACAAGGATAACCTGAAAATTCCTGAAGCATTCTAGAGTTTTAAAAAATACTATTGGTTGTAACACTGTCCAAAGAACTTCCCATAATGATGAAAATGTTCTTTATTTGTGTTCTCCAGTGTGGAAGCTACTGTATGCATATGAAATGAAATGTGAATGGTGGCTAATCTAATTGAGAAACTGAATTCAAAATTAAGTCAATTAACTTAAGTTTAAATAGCCATACATGGCTGGTGGCTACCATGTAGGATGGTGCAGACCTTTTTTAAACCACTTACTATGGGGGATCCCTGGGTGGCACAGCGGTTTGGCGCCTGCCTTTGGCCCAGGGCGCGATCCTGGAGACCCGGGATCGAATCCCACGTCGGGCTCCCGGTGCATGGAGCCTGCTTCTCCTTCTGCCTGTGTCTCTGCCTCTCTCTCTGTGTGTGACTGTCGTAAAAAAATAAAAATTTTTTAAAAAATCAATAACTATGAACAATATTGAAATTAGTAACCTCTTCTTTCCCCCTCTTCCTTCTCCCCGAAGTATTTAATGTGCTATCTATTCAGTGCTAAATGAAACCTTTAAGGCAACCAGCAAACTTACTTTCTATATAATATTTTACTTCTCTGCCCATTTTCAATAGCTCAATTACATCTTGGTTATCAGAGGATGTGACAAATACATAGTATTTTTCACACTGTGCCCACTGCTCTTCATTCTACCATTAAATATGTTCAGTGCTCATCAGTTGTTCTTAGGAAAAGCTTCTCTCAGATTTTCTCGATTGTCTGAAGCATATTGGTTAGTACATTACTCAGGAAGGGCCCACCAGAGCATTATTCCCTGATTACCTCAACTTCACCATGGTTTGTAGCCTTTATACTTGATGGTCACTTTGGCTAAATTAATAAAAAAAAAATGGCTCACATTTTCTTTCTTGGGTATCTGTATTATGTTATTTCATCTTTTCCATTGTGTTTTAACCTTAGAGTGTTCTGTGAAGATGTATTACCTTGCAAGTTACTTGGTGGTTTTACCTTATGCCAAAAGGATTTCTATTCTGTGAAGTCTAATAACTTCAACAGACTGTGTCTTGCAGTTGACTATTCTGGTCCAGACACAGCATGTTCCCTTTAAACAGACAGGTTCAAGTTAGTGTGTGTATATGTTTTCAGGAAAGTTTTTCTTTAATAGTTGTTTTTATTTGTTCCTCTCTACTGCCTTACTTTTACTTTCTTCTTGTTGAGGGTGCTATTATGCATATATTGGATCATCTTTACCTCTCCTCTGTATCCATTGCTATTCCTTGAATCCATTAGATCTTTTTCTTCTGTGATTTTTTTTTTATGTTTTCATTTTGTATACTATTTCTCTTCTTCTATCTTAGTTACTCTGCTTGTGTTTGAAGATCCCAGAAAACCATGCCACTATCACAACCTTGCCCTGATTTTAAAGTTGCTTTGTTAGTGTTGTTGTATTTTGCTCACACAGCTTTTTTTTTTACAAAGGATAAATACCTTTAGAGGAATGCTAATTTTAAAAGATTCTTCCCCAGCTCTTTACACCAGAGAAGTTCATGTGAATTGGTCCTGTGAAATCACTGTCAGTGAGTGGATCCTCCTAGTATTGGCAGGTGAACCTACTATGGAAAATACCATTTACAAGATTTAGTGACGTATATTCCAAGAAAATGCTCTCACAAATACTTTACTACAATTACCATTCAGAGTTGAAACTTAAAGCTATTAAACTGAACATTTCAATATGGAAGAGCTCTTTGCACAAACTCAGCTTTTGGAAACCGGTCAAGATGACACAGTACTTACACAGAAGATTCATTGGTTGAGGTGCTGATGATGTAGGCCTCTGGGCTTGGAGGGCCAAAAAAGCTGGAATCTCAGGAACTCTGACCTGATGATTCCTCTCCCTTGACAGTGGCCTCATCACCTACCAACCAAGGACACCAAGAAGCCATGTTCACTTCACTGCCTGCTCAGTTGGATTGTATTGGGTTAATATCTTAATGTCTCATTTCTACTGATCCTCTAACCCTTGGGGGTCATGGACAATCACAGTAAACCTTCATCTTGGAAGGCACACACAAATTTAGCCCATCCTGTAGAAAAATAATAGACTCTGCTCATAATTTGATAATTATGTCTGGTTCATCATGAAATACCCTGCATTTGCTGTACTCTATACATCAGTGGGGGAACTCTATCCTTTAGACCTGATTTAATTTAGCCTGACTCCTGCCATCTCTATGTCACCTTTCACTGTGTCTCCAGAGACTTCAGTGGGGTCTCACACTTCTCATCATCATCCCCCCTTACTCCAGAGCTGCAGCATCTACTGATCTAGTTTGGTTTATGGATGCTCTCTCACATTTCTCATTCTTATTCCATACCTATCACTCCACCTCACACTGGGCACTGCTTGGATGTCTTCACCATTGGGCTGCAGGTGACAGACTTTGGGGGCTTGTCTGGAGTGAAGTTTGAGGGTTTGGGGAGGTTCGTGGGCTAATCTTCAGACTATGCCCAAAAGTGGATATTAGACACTTGTTTTGAAACAAATCTCTCAGTCATGGTTACAGCATCATCCCTCCACTACCCCCTAAGCCCATTGCCTCATCTTTCTGGGCTCCCCTCTCCCTCCCAGACCCTTCCTTCCTTCATATAGCTAATTCTGCAAAAACTAACATTCTCACTTTATGTGTGCAGAACAACTTGGTTCTGTTTGCCCCCTGTTAGCCTGGGGCTAGCTTTTCAGTGATTCAGTGCTGCATCCCTGTGTTTTACTACATAAAAGATGATTTCAAAAAGAAACTGTGTGTCTCTCCTAGAAGCCAGAGCTTCTGTGGACAATTACGTGTTCTCTCTTTACTCTCCTTCCTTTTTCTGTCTCCTTTCTTCCTAGTATACACACTGAGAGTGTTGAGAAGGAAGAGGGGTGAGAAAGAGCCCATCAAGGAACACTTACTGGAAATCAGGTGGGATGTGGGTCTGCTGTGGGAAGTCCTGGGGTCCTCCAGGAGCAAGCAGAGGCCAGGAAAGGGGCCTGAGCCAGGCTCAGGGATGAGGCAAGCCCACCTGGCCATGAATGAAGCATTTTAAGAACCTACCCTAAGGGGAGATATTATTATACTGATGCTTCTTTTACACACATGAGAATTGAGTCTTAGCTCCAAGTTAACAGAGCTGGTCAGCAGCAGGCGTGGAGTACAGCAGGCTCCTGGCTCTAGTACATGCTCTCAGTTACAGTGCTGCTACCACTGTGAACTCAGAAGACAAACATACTTAGACAGAATGCCAGTCAGCCCTCTGACTCAAACCCACAGTAAAGTGCTTCACCTCACAGTGCCTCCATTTCCTTACTCACAATGAGACGGGGGCACTGAAACCTATCTCATGATGTTGTTTTAAAGATTAAATCAGCCAGCAGGGGCACCTGGGTGGCTTAGTGGTTGAGAGTCTGCCTTCGGCTCAGGGGGTGACCCCGGGATCAAGTCCCTCATGGGGTTCCCCACAGGGAGCCTGCTTCTCCCTCTGCCTATGTCTCTGCCTTCTCTTTGTGTCTCTCATGAATAAATAAATAAAAATTTTTTAAAAAATCAGCCAGCAGATGGGAAGCCTTGCACATAGTAGATTTAATAAAAATCAGTATTCCTTCTTTATGATATTTTCTGTATTTGGTGGGAAGGGTCATTGAGTGTGCTTTTAAGGAGGAAAAGATCAAAAACTTTCTAAGATTATTTTACTTTGTAAAGAGTCATAAAGAGGCATTGAGGGACAAACCAAATGTCTGGCTGCTCTTTTATTTTGATTAATATAATTTAAACAGGAAGGAAAGAATGTTGGTTTGTAGCTAGAAATGAAGAAATGTTGCAAGAACAATGCAATTTGCTCTGTAAAAAAAAAATCGCACAATTGGCATATTGAAGGGCTCGCCTTTAAAAACATGACATATAATCACAAATAATTAGGTCGATTTTTGCTCCAAGTTACAACTGCCTTTTTTCAACATTTCTTATTTCTTTGGAGACTGTAGAACAGGCTGACAAGCACCCCCAGCCCCCGTTGGCTCCAGGCTACCTAGAAATGAATTTATCCAGGTGTTACTGCCACAGGAGGAAAAGGTAAACTTGAAATAACACTGCACTATTAGCTTTGTGGCTGCTTAAAACAGAGGTCTTTGCATATTTAAAGAAGAGAATGAAATCTGTATATTACATATTTTTATTCTCATATTTTTGCACAGTCCTTTTTCTTCAAAACAGAAGTGTATAAATACTGTATCCTGAACTTCGTTCATTATTCCTGGGTTTTCCTTTTTTTTTTAAGATTTTTTTTTATTTATGAGAGACACACAGAGGAGGCAGAGACACAGGCAGAGGGAGAAGCAGGGTCCCTGCAGGGAGCCCAATGTGGGACTCGATCCCAAGACTCTGGGATCACACCCTGAGCTGAAGGCAGGTGCATAACCACTGAGCCACACAGGTGCCCCCAGTTTTTCCTATTTTTAAATGTTCGTAGCTCCTTTGGTTCCTAGAGGCTCCAGGAGATCCCCCCACCCCCGGTGGCAGCATGGGTCAGAAGGTCTGGAACGCAGCAGAGCATCCAGGCTGTGTTTCTGTCCCAGCTACTGACTCACTTTGCTGTAGGAATGAGACACACTAGCCCTCTCTCTGCACCTCGGCCACCAGCTCAGTCAGGAAAGGGAGTTAGACTAACCAGTAGTGACAATGCACTAGTTACTGTGATAATGTGACTAGTGTGGATTATCTCCTTTTAGCCTCAAAGGAAGTGGGTACCTCCGTTATCCCCCATTCCCAGCCTCGGAAACAGGCTACCTGTAGTACAAGGTGTGGCCCAGATGTTCCCAGAACCTGTCCTGCTTCTGGCATCCAGTATTCCTGTATTCAACTCAATCTTTGGCCCTGAGTTTGGTGGCCATTCCAGCACGGAAAGAAGCACAATGATGGGGTAGATGGAGGGCAGCGATCAGGAACATGGACAGGGCTGGCTGTGGACCAGGCCGACCTCAGGCAAGCCCA